TAGAAACACTAAAAGAAAGATTCGACAAAGTCTGGTAAGCCAGCTCTTTGATTTATATTTCTTTCTGGTTTCCTTATGGCAACAGATTAAAATCGAACTGCTGACACACCAAATGCTGTCACCAACCAAGAATTCCCTCCTCCACACATCATGATTCATCCGTGGAAAAGTTGAAGATACTCACTACGCCATCACCGTTGAGTCCCAAACACGAATTTTGACAGCTTCGTAATCGTATCGTCGAAGTATCGTCGTCGTCAAATATTGTATGAAAATGAAAAGCTAGTTTGTTCTTACGTCCGCTGCTTAGTTTTCATTACTTTTCATAGAAACTTTGACGATGCGATAGTATACCCTTAGTATACCAATATCGAATTCGAATAGTTTGCGAGTGCGAATTGTCATTATCAAATCGTTACGTCCGTTATTCAAATCTGTTCAAGTTTCCGTACAAAAGGAGATTGCTCAAATTGGCCTAAATGCAAAAAAAATATTGACATACACGGTAATTCTTGGCGTAATTTATAATTTAATTTACAGTCATTAGATTTTAACGGACACCTTTGTATAATATATTTACTTTAAAAAGGACTTTTAATTTTACCTGTTTGGAAAACATACGAATCATTTTTAATGGCTATGGGTGTAGTAACATTCAGCTAATGACTGATCGAAGTTGTTTATATAACATAAAAACAAATCTATTTTGTAAAGATCGATATAATAAATATTTTTTTTCATTACACTGTGGTATTAATATCCACCACTATATTATCATTTTCACTAGATGCAAATGTGCTCAGACAATTATTATAGATGGTAGGCGCATCATAAAGTCTATTGCCATTCATTTTTCGCCAAAGCCCTCCATAAACACATTATAATCTGTATATTTGTTAGACTTTAAGGTATCTATCTATGGGCCTACGTTCCCTGACTATAAATTAATTAATAAATAAAATTATAAGGTGTGATACACTAAAAATGTAAAATATGGTTATCTTAAAAACATAACAAAAATAATGAAGCTACTGAATATATGGCTATAGAACCTAAATCTCTTAGCTTTCTTTGGTTAACGAGAGTATAAAAATGCTCTCTAATCTGTGGCTCATTCACAATCATCACACAGTTTCTGTCACAGAGTACCTTATTATAACCGGAAATGACACCTAATTTTAAAAGTTACTCTTGTGCATTAACTTTAAAAACAGGCAACTATCTGTTAATCTACATGCTCTTTATACCTGAATCTAATCCATAATTTCGGTACTAGGCTTGATTTTCCTAGTTTACTATATAACTTTTTTGTTTTCTACTATTTTAATATGTTCAGTGTATATGGTTTATAGAAGTTTTCAGGGGTGTCTGTCAATAATATTCGTTTCTACAGTAATTTATATATAATTTCGAATCTAGGAAACAATTTTTCATGATTATTGGTCTTTAGGCCAAACATGTATGGAAGCTGAGCAATCTCCTTTGACAATGACTTTTCGCACTCGCAAACTATTCGAATTTGATATTGTTTCGTGTTAAGGATAAGTTGACAAAATTTGTACTAGGACCTTAAAAATGTGCCCCTAGCACGAACTATTATCGAATTCGAATAGTTTGCGAGTGCGAAATGTCAATGTTAAATTTTGTATGGAAACTTAAACTGCAGCGCCACAAAGTACGTAACGAGAACTAAAAATCAGTACACATTTGATAATGTCATTTCCGACTCGCAAACGATACGAATTCGATATTTTTTCGTGGCGTAGTAAGTATCGACAACATTTCCCCGTATGAATCATGACGTGAGGAGGAGGGAATTCCAGGTTCGTGGCAGTATTTGGTATATGTATATCAGCAGTTCGATTTTCGGAGATGCGAATCTGGATGTCTGCCTGGCAAAGGAGATTGCTCAGCTTCCATACATGTTTGGCCTAAAAACCAATAACCATGAAAAATTGTTTCCTACATTCGAAATTATATATAAATTACCGTAGAAACGAATATTATCGACGGCCACTCCTGAGAACGTCTATAAACCATATACACTGAATGATTTTGAGGTTATGTTTGCAAATAGGCACATAGGTATTAGAATGATAAAAACCAAATAACTTATATAGGAAAATAGGGCAATCAAGCCAAGTACTGATATTATGTATTAGATTCAGGTATATAGAGCATGTAAAATAACAGATATGTGCATGTTTTTAAAATTAATGCACAAGAGTAAGTTTCAAAATCATGATTATGCCATTGCGACTTTCAGAAGCAATCTTGTTTCATTTGACAAGTGTCTAACACTAATTACACTAACAAAATGCATGTCAAGGAACTGGTACCTGCTTACCTATGTTATGGGAAACATGGAACTGTTATCATAATTTATAAAAACCAATAGGATATTTTCTTAGTAGTAATTAGGTTTATAATGGTAAAAGGTAATTCTAATGTAATAATATATTGCGTAGGTTCATGATAGTTCTGATCAATGTGTGAAATATGTATATTCCTGACATAGCTTAAATATTGTGATAAGGTAAATTAATGAAATAAAACAACTTAAGTACTTTTATGTTGCGTTTAATATTACATATCATCTACATTTTGAATTAAAATATCATCGAGAAACTGTGCAGGGGGATTTATATTTTCTTGGTATCTGGCCCAGCTCAAATACCAAATTATTGTCATCACATGAGCGCAGCAACCTACAGTTCTGCGCCCAACAACACAATTACAACAATAACGGCATAGACTTTATGATGTCGCCTACCATCTATATTAATTGTCTTAGCACATTTGCATGTAGTAAAAATGATAATAAAGTTGTGGATATTAATACCACAGTGTTATAAAAAAAAATATTTTATCAATCTTTACAAAATAGATTTGTTTTGATGTTATATAAACAACCTCGATCAGTCTTTGTGAATGTTACTACACCCATAGCCAATAAAAATGATTCGTATGTTTTCCAAACCGGTAAAAATAGAAGTCCTTTTTTAAAATTAATATATTATTTAAAGGTGGCCGTTAAAATCTAATGACTGTAAAATAAAGTATAAATTACACCAAGAATTACTGTATATGTCAATATTTTATTTGCATTTAGGCCAATTTGACCAATCTCCTTCCATCATTGTTCCATACGTTTCGGTGATCGTTCAGATCTCGTTTTACCTACCACACACATGGCCTATAACAATTAGCTTTACCGAATAATTGTTTATTGGTCTCCGAAGAAATTATAAGTCCAACATTATTAAAACTTAATCTCGCTTCAAAAATATAAAAATTCAAAAGAGAAAAAACAAAGTTTGAAAACAACAATCACAAAGTAAGGCAAGGTGTTCGTTATTTCGTTTTGAGATTATCTTTTGTACTGGCTGACATTTGTTTATTTTATTTATTTAAACTTTATTGCAAAATTACACAGCAAATGGCGGACATAATGCCATAAGGCATTCTCTATCAGTCTACCAGTAAGAGCATAAGTAAAATAACTAATATGACGGGGGCGCAATAAAGACAAATTTAAGATAAACCATTCACTTATACAAATACTCTTAACGGAATACATACATATTATACACATATATATACATACAAAATACATACATATACATTGTCAAGATTAGTCAAAATCAAAGGTGACAAATGTTTTTTTTAGGTACAATGTTTTTTGTAATAAACAAAATTTATTATAGGTATTTATTAGGTCCTCACGTATACACGAGGCCGGATCGGAATTCGGCCAGGGATAGAAGCTAAGGGCGAGGAAGAAACTGAGTAGTGGACGGATGAGAGAAAAGCTGGAAGGAAGCAAGAGTATCAAAGAAAAGAAATGGAGTTGATAGAGGGAAAAAGCAGGGTTTCGGTGGGTAAGACAAGGTTAGACCTAAGACGGGAAGGGTGTTTCAATAAATGTCAAAGCAGAAACACCAAATCAGAGGAATAAAGTTAAATTTTCCTTGTTTCTTGAGGAAAATTTCTAAACGGTTTATTTAGCTTCATGACATAATTATACGGTACTGTACACCTACGTAATAATTATTGGTGATGCTTTTAATTAAATTGCTAGGTAAGCAAGAAAATTTCTAATTATGGGTAAAAGATTTACGATTTCAGCAAACTAGCCATGGAAACAAAACGGAAAGAAATAATTTGGCTATGCTATCCTGTAACTAATTTCATGCAGCGACATCTAGAAGTGCATTAAAAACAAGGCACAGATATGAATTGTATCGGGGTCAAAAATATCGACCACGCTCACTGGAAACAATACATAATAATGTTTTTTAAAAGGTTTTGAATTCAAAAGCTGCCATTTTTATTCTATCGTAAAAAAAATATATACATGAAAAAGCATGGTAATTGTTGGTTCTGCTACTCGACACAAGATGGCACTGTTAACAAGCTGTCAACAAAAGTTATTTTATAATAAGAATATGAATATTTTATATGTATTACGTCAATTATAAATATTGCTTTATTATCAGTATATCAAAGTTATAATATCTGCCGCGTTATCTGATCACATGATGAAATGATTACATAAATTCGACCTTGAAAGTAGGTAGGACCAGCATATTTTTTTTAAACAAGGCACTTAAATTTATTTATATTAACGTTTTGAATCATATGGTCTCCTTGAACAAAAGGTGAGCAAAATATAAAAGAACGATACGGAAAAGAAATTAGTTTATTTAGAATACAAGTTTAATTCTAAAATCCCGGGCTTTCTATTTTTATGTTATCTATACTAATTTTCATGTAGGTATTTTAGGTATATTTAGGTAGGTATTTCATAAATTTTAGGTAGGTAGGTAAACACATTAAAAAGTTAATTGAGTACAATTACAATTAATTTCTATTTAACTATGTATGATGTAACATTTTCTCTTTTTATGTAACAATGAATTGGCGGCTCTTATTTTTAGCAAACAGCCAATAATAAAAAAGATGACGCTAAGCGTAGTTGTACTCGAAGCGCTAGCGTCACCAGTCCCCACGTGCTATTCATTCATTGAAAAAATTGGTTAAGATTACACACCAGTCATACCGTAGAGCTGCGAAGGCGGAATAGATAATAATTTAGAACAAAGCGGTATTTTTCGTTTCGCTTTTCACGGTTACACTCGTATTGCTCGTATTATCAAAAAAAAGTATATAATAAATTCATTAGTTATTAAATTCTGTAGTGTACTCAGATAGTTTATTTAAATGTGTTTATATGTATGATTAGTTCCAGCTACCGCTTAGAGATGTCGCTCAAAAAGGTTCTTGTCGTTAATAAAAGTTACCCTGTAGCGGGCTTAGATATTTTGAAAGAAAAGTAAGTAAACAATTTTGATATTCCAAGATTATCTAGTAACATTTATTTGTAATTTAAATAAAATGTAGCAAGTTTTTCTTTTTGGTTCTGGTTTATTAAACATATGTTTTTTCGTTTTTAAGTGGAAAAAATATGTAATAATTAACTTTTTTATTCCAGAGTGCAGACAACGGTTTTACAATATCTAGACTACGACCCAGAAAGTCTTCCAGAAATCAAAAAGAACATCAAAGGATATGATGCTGTTATATGGAACACGAAACACCATCTTACGGCAGAAATTCTGGACTTAGCAGGTACGACATAAAACAATTAAATATTAATTTTCTTTAGAATTAAATAGGTATAAGGAAATGACGGGTGCCAAACAACCATAATGGCAAGCATAAGCCTGATGGCAAGCAGGCATCATACCTTAGGGTGCGGCCAGAGTGCACTCAGATTCAGATTCAGATTCAGATTTCGAAAACAAGCGCGAGAAATAAACAGTGTAGTCGAAGGGTACGGCCAGATTGCACTCCTGATTTAGATTCAGATTCAGACTCAGAAAACAAAGCGCGAGAAAAAGCAGGCAACCTGCTTAGACTACACTGTTTATTTCTCGCGCTTGTTTTCGAAATCTGAATCTGAATCTGAATCTGAGTGCACTCTGGCCGCACCCTTACGCCGGGTGAGCAGTGCAGGAGTATTGTCGGGTTTTTAGTGGCCCCATTCAGGGCGTTAGGTGCCTGCTCATTTCATCCTGCCCAAGGGCTGGCTGAAGTGAGCAGGGAGGAGTCCCACATACCTTCTTCTCGCTGCACCGGTGGTTAAAGGATGCGTAAAGCATTACCCAGACACAAAAAAAAAGCGCGTGTAAAATCCGCCCCTGGTGCCAGCCAGCACTTATATCACACGCACTTTCTATTATATTTAAACTAAACAAGATGTCAATTAGATAATATTACCGTGTCAATACGTTCATTGCACACATGTAGGGATTGCAATCCGGAAAAACGGATCCGGTAATCCGGCGGATCCGGCATCATTTGACGTTTGCCGGATCCGGTACCAATATACCGGATCCGAAGACCGGATCCGGTGCTACAATAAAGCCGACAAGTGTAGAAGCTGAAAGGGCCTTTTCGGCCGCAGGCTATAATATGCAGCTCTATTAGAAGTCGTTTAGCTGATGACGCAATTTACAATATTTGTTTTCTACAATCTTTTTTTCAAAATCAATATTGATTTTCTTTTAATACTTTATTTTTATTTTCTTACAATTATTAATTAAAAGAATTATATATCGTAAGTTGATTATGCTAAAGAGTTCTAAACTCATTATTGTGATAATTTTTGCCATTCATTCGTTCGTCAGATTCATCAAATCATGGTGGTATCTGTCTTAAATACCTATAAGACTTGTTTTTTTGCATTCCTAAATACTTTAATAATGATTTAGATCTCATTTCAGTTAATTACGTAAGGTTAATTGTATCTGTTAGATATTATAGTTACTTGACAATTAATATTGTTACTCATAAATTGATCTATATTTGTGAAAGTGAAATCTAGAAAGACTGAGCTACTCGTTACGCCGTAAAATTATTACTAATTTCTCTTACACTACCAAATTTTAATTGTTTTCTTGTTGTCTATTTGTCTTGACATTGGTTAGGAAAAAAGTCGTTTCTATATATTTGTGATTTATATTTATAAACTACGTACATATAAGTGCAGTGACACTTGATTAACTTACTTATTTTGTACGAAAAACCGAAAATCATCCTGATTTTATCAATCCGGCCGGATTGATGGGAATCCGGTCGTATCCGGCCGGACTGAAAATGACACCGGATTACAATCCCTACACACATGCGAGAGGCCAATCACAAGTCTCGCATGTGTGAACAATGAACCAATTCGTTCATTGTTCACACGTTATCTTTGCGCTTTTACCATCTGGACAAGTCCGGTTTTCCCCTTTTGATCAATGAGCTGTAGGTAATCCTGGCGCCAGATCAAGGAACAAGAACTCCGCCTCCCAAGAACATTGACGGAGTCCTTGTTTGCACTTATAAAACAAATCCTCCAGGTCCTCAATTAAAAGCGGTGTCTTCTATGTCGTCTGGTCTCGACCACATAAGGATAGAAGAGGTGCAGAAACGCGGCATAGCTCTCGGCAACACTCCAAACGTGTTGAACAACGCGGTGGCTGATATCACCGTCGGACTGCTCATAGCGGCCGCTAGGAAATTCAAGGAAGGCATCAGGGAACTAGAAAGGTAAATATTTCTTCTAGGAGCTTGTTGACGCGATGAACAGCACGTTCATTCTGTTTGTGGATTTTTTTTATTAAAAGGGTGGCAAACAAGCGTATGGCCCGCCTGATGGTAAGCGATTTATAAGAGGTAGGTCATAGCAGATTTTCCGCTCGAATTGGAGCGCCCGTCTGGGGAATTAACCTCCACCTTACAGAAGACCACAGTAAAATAACACTACCTTTTGGTGGTATTGTGTTTCTGTCGGTGAATAAGGTTTTTTTTTATAGATAGGTCGGACAAATGACTCCGCCCCACCTGATGTTAAGTGTCGGTGAAATCCAGACGTGAAGATAGCTGGTGCAGCAGTTCTACCTGCAACACCAACCATCCTCACCTTGCCGGCCTGCGCGTTGCTTCTTCACGCCTCTTTCAAAGAATCCCAGGTTGTAAGAAGGAGGGAACACGTGAGCGGGCAGAGCATTTCGATTTACGGATAGTGCGACAAACTCAGACCAAATAAATTTCATAACGTTATTAATAACGTTATAAAATATTAGAAAAAACTATCGTAGGCTTATTCTCTAAACTAGTCCAGATTAGTTTTGCACTGGCCCTAGATCCAACCTCTCGTGAGCCAAAGGTCCTGCGCTTGGAGATCTGGGGTTCCTGTGATTTATAAGTTTAATAACTGTTACACTAATAAAAGTTTAGTTAAAAAATACATAATAAAAACAAAGCTTAACCTTTGTTTTTGGCGGGATTTCATGGAGTGCGGTTAGCGTCATATTTTAATTATTCTTTAATTCGTTCATAGTGAATATTGTGAAATAAAATTGGTGTCATTTTGTGTTTCAACCGTCTGCACGACTGAAGAATTATTGGAATCTTTAAAATATAAAGTAACCTAAGTAACTACACACATCAAAAGTGTCTAGGGATCAACATATATTTTTGCAATAACTTTTCTCCTGATTGATATTAATTAAAATTTTCTTTAAGGATTCATCAAATAAAGTGTTTTCGTTTGTCACAGTAACGATAAACCAAGTCACCTTTGCATTAATAAAGAAATTTGCCATTTTCCTAATAAAGGGATTTTTGACATTTGAACCACTAACACAAAAGTTCGAAAAAAAGACTGAAATAACAGTTTTCTCTAAAATTTTATTGGGTAACTTAAACAATTAATAATCCGTATTTCTACCGCGAACACTAACAACACAAGAACATCGGTTTGGCATACTCAAAATGAGTTCATCCAAATCACGCTGTGGAATGGCCGCCCATGTTCGTTGCAACAACAAAAAAAGGTCTTCTTGCGACTGGATACCCTCCATATTCGGCAGAGCTCTTCTCTGTAGCATATCCCATGCATGCTCAATCGGGTTCAAGTCTGGCGACTGAGCAGGCCAGGGCAGGACATTGATGTTAGCTGCGGCGAGAGTCTGTCTTACAACTCTTGCGGTGTGCGGTCGTGCATTATCATGCATTAACTGAAATAAGGGACCGATTTGCACTTGTAGAGGAACGATGACGTCTGATACAATCGTCTCAGCATAAATTTGAGCGTTGAGGTTGCCTCTGATCCAAATCAACTCAGTTCTTCCGCCGATCCAAATACCCGCCCATACCATGATGGTTCCACCACTATAAGGATGGACTTCCTGGCAGGATTTTAATCGCTGTTGGCGTCCAGGGGTTCTCCAGTGTCGTATACGTCTTGTATCCGGTCTCATACCAAAACGAGACTCATCAGAAAAGCACACGAAACGCCATTGTTCTTCTGCCCAATTTCTGTGTTCAAGAGCCCATTGATATCGAATCCTACGATTGTGCATTGCTATAGGTGGTACCCGTAGCGGTCTTCGGGAATGAAGGTTCACTTCATGCAAGCGGTTTCTGACTGTTTGGTCGCTAATTAAGTTCCCTGAAGAGTGATGAAGCCTCACGGCTAACATCATGGCGGTTATTGTTGGAGCTCTTCGAGTTAAGATTTGAATGTATCGGTCTTGTCTCCGTGTGGTGCAGCGATACCGTCCTCCATGGCGCTCAGCCACGGTACCAGTGCTTCGGTATCGTGTCCAAAGTCGACTGATAACACTCTGACTTGTATTCAGAGCTAAAGCCACAGTACGTTGCCGGGAACCAGCTTCTATCATTCCCACGGCTCTGAGCATTTCTTCCCTGCTTAAATGACGTCGCCGCTCCATAATAACGTTGGTTTTAATCAGTAGTAGGGAAACAGTAGCACTAATAATGTCTTCAATGCGTTGTATGTTTTTATAGGGAAAATATTGACAGCTGATTTTCATCTTTTACTCGAATTTGATTCACAGTTCCTGATTCAAATTATGAAATGCACCAAAAAGGATCCATATAAATTTATAAAATCATAAATTTATTACAAAGCCACATCTCAATCTCAAGAAATCCGCATAAAAATGCTTGATCCCTAGACACTTTTGATGTGTGTATATTGAGTTAAGTAAAAAAAAATACCCTTGGATATGCATTTTATTTTACACGACGTAACCCTTTTGTTGTGTAGTACAAATCGTCGCTCTGAAAATGAGACGAACAAATTACGCTGCGGGAAGCTGGTTGCCACAATGGTTCATTTCTACTCTTACGAATGAGTGCAATCCACTTCTCTCTTAGATTTTTATCTCGATTAGGAAATTGTAAAAAAAGGTATAATATATAATTTGTATTACATCCCAAAAAAATATACGAATACATAAAGAAAAAAGATAATAAACATGTTTCGTGTAATTGTTTATCCATGCATTACAATATTCGAATAATATAAAAGTATGCTAACAATGTATTTAATAAAATAACGTTACGTTATATTTCACGCTACCCAACAAAAGGGTAAAACTGTAACGTATAATCATGGCAGCATTTTATTCAGGTTTTGTTTACAAAGCGACAACCTCAAATTTGATTTTGATTAATTGAAAATATTAGTTTATAATTTTTCTTACGTATGAAATGTAATAATAATATAATAATAATAAATATATCTTTATTCAAATAAGGTCATACATTGCATAATAATACTAATAACAATATAAAGTACAAAATAATGGATGCCTGAACTAGGTTACAGTTAAAATTGTACCTGTATTTCAGGCTTTTATGATCTAAATAATATATTGAATGATTAATAAATTAACAAATTAATTAAAACAGAACTTAAAGTAATCATTGTATAAATGTTGGTAAATGTAAATTATGGAGTTACGTTCATTTATTTACAAATAAGAAGTAATTCTTCGGTCTGCTCGTATGTCAGGCTGTGCAAATAATTAAATACTACAGTTCTACAGTTAAAATAGTTTAATGTATAAATACCTAACACTCTATTTAACTTATTATATAAGAAAGGACTTAGGAAAGTAGAGAATCTATGTGAAAAGATGTATTTTGAATCATGTGTAGAGATGCAGAATGTGATTCCATCCTGTTTTTTATTCTTGGAAGATTGGTTTCACTACACAATTCGGCATTTTCTCTAATAAATATTGTTTTTTATTATTACGTCACACTCCGCGCGCCGGGATAGCTCGACTGGGAAGCCAAGGCGTAGTTTCGTTGCATGTGTGTGCGTGTAACTGTGTATGTACACGGCAAGGCGTAGTTTTATCGGCTTCACTTTTTTGTTTGGCAGACTCCGTCTATACTTTTTATTTCGTCTGAGGCGACAAAGTAATGTCATTCGATCAAATGACATGTCGATATCGGTTTGGTTTGGTTTTCGGTTAATTGTCACCGATCAACTGGCATTCGATATGGCGTAGAAAACCCGGCTGCAAGAGCTGTGAGGGGAGGCAGAAGCCATACAAAGGCATTCGTTAGGTACTGAAATATATTTTGATTTGAGGGCGGTGCAAATCGTAAATGGCCGGGTCGCCAGACTTCAAAATACGCCACTGAGTGTCAGTATGATGTTGTTTGCTATTAAATAATGATTGTTGTTCCCAGTGGACAGTGGAAGTACGGTGTTCAGTGGTCCCTCGGGCTGGATATAGCTGGAAGTGTAGTCGGCATCATTGGCCTGGGAGGCATTGGCCAAGCTGTGATCCGGCGGCTCAAGGGCTTTGACGTGGCCAGGTTCCTCTACACCGGCAGATCGGACAAACCGGAAGGTTACATAACCATTATTTTCAATCATCATAGAAGCTCATAGACTACAAAGCTTACAACAAATTTGGTATGGGATTCCGATTTGCAAGTCTTATCAAAACGTATTAATTCGTCAATCATTCATCTTCAATTATCATTCGTTCATTCAAACATCATTCCATTTAAATTATGGGTGTATTCCGAAATATACATCAGTATACTGGCCAGTGGTAATGACGTCACGAATCCGACGCCATATTGTACTGGTATGCTACCATATTTTTACCGGGAAAAACAATTTGACGTATGAACGAGCGTGCGTGAGATGCATTCGAATTTTATTTCTTTTTTATTTAAAGAACAATAATGGCATCCGACCAAAAAGATATCCTTTTAATTGATGAGATGAATAAAAATCTTCTTTATTCGCACTATTTTTAATATTTCGTCGATTTATGACGTCAGTGCACTGGCGAGTATATTTCGGAACAATTTACCAGTATAGCGTCGATTCATGACGTCATTAGCACTGGCCAGTATACTGGTATATATTACGGAATACACCCTATATCTGCACTAGCGGGTTCCTGCGACGTCGTGTGCGTGGTTCAACTGATATAGAAACTTGCATCCCCCTTCTTACCCCCTTAAAGGGTCCTAGGATATAACAATTATATCATACACAATTATGTAAATTTTTAAATTCTGTTCGGTAATCGGTTCAGCTGTTTAAACGTGAATATTTCTTCACCGAATTACCGAACATAAGAGACAAACAGACCAGGGCCGTAGCTAGGGGGGCATTATGGGGTAATGCCAAACTTTAAAAATTATAGACATCGACTTACTAAATGAATAAAATAATTCTGGATGGGGATGCAAATCTTGCTTTTGCCCTACACCCTACTTGTAATTACCGCTGCTATATCTTAACTCTGACTACGGCCCTAAAACACACACTTTCGCATTTATAATGATATTAGTATATATTCAATCTTTCATTCTGCAATAATTGATCATTTCATTCAATTGATTGAACGCGTTTGTATTACTTATTCATTACAGCGAAAGCTCTGGGAGCAGAACGTGTCCCGCAGGAGCAGTTGCTGAAGGAAAGTGATTACGTGATCCTGGCCTGCCCCCTGACCGACCAGACCAAGCACCTGATCAACGCGGACACGCTCAAGCTGATGAAGAAGACTGCAGTTCTCGTGAATATTGGAAGAGGAGGTGACAAAATCTCTCATTTCACGATGAGGTTGCAATAAATGAAATTATTTATGTTGTCCTCTCCGATACATATACACATTTAAAAAGTCTAAGCATTACGCATCATTTACAGAAACTGTATGTTTTTATTTTTTGACTTTTTTTTTTCTGAACAAAGTAAAGAAAATATTACTAGAAAAAATATCCACGCGGACCAGGCAGCAGACGGGACTCGAACCCGCACCCTTCGCAATCCGGGCGAATGCACTGACCAATTATGCTACCCTGACGGCCGCGCCGAAATTCCTCTAGCCATTCTTAGCTGCAAGGCAGCGCCATATCTTCGCATTGTAGATAACCCACAATATCAAATGAATACTTTTACAAGTATTAAACATTTGAAAGAAGAAATAGCAATTATAGTTATAATTTAATTTTTTAAGCATGTTACTGATTGATGTTTAAATCTAAAGAAAATATTACCAAATAAAAAAACCACGCGGACCACCGCACCCTTCAATTTCGACGCGGCCGTCAGGGCCGCGGTAGCATAATTGGTCTGTGCATTCGCCCGGATTGCGAAGGGTGCGGGTTCGAGTCCCGTCTGCTGCCTGGTCCGCGTCGATTTTTTACTAGTAATATTTTGTTTAGATTTAAACATCAGTTAGTAAAATGCTTAAAAATTTAAATTATAACATAACAAAGTAGATTGGTAGATTGGAAACAAAAAGAATTGCAATAAACAATCCTTTTTGAATTCGGAAACATATATGGCTAGATTTTTAAAATAGAAACTTTATGATTGTGTTTTGTTTTCATATAAATAAAAATAAAAATTGTATTACAATAGTTAAAATCGTTCAAAAGTTCGTTCGTTCTACCTATCGAATCGAGTAGTATTGAAGTTTTCTTTAATTTTCTCGTTTTCCGTTTAATCTTCTTAGCTTTTTCCCCTAAAAACATATCCGTATATAGATAAAAAACAAACCGTATAAAGGGCGTCGCCAAGGGGGTGCGAGCAATTGACTTCCTTATTATATTGCCCCATTGCCCCCCCCCCCCCCCCTTAGTCATAAGCTGGCGACGTCCTTGATCCCTATAGATATTAAGCAAAGACTAAGATTACAAATGACCTCTAACCTGTAGGTCTCGTGGACCAAGAAGCTCTATACGATGCGTTGAAGGACGGCCGCATCTTCGCGGCGGGGCTGGACGTGGTCACGCCAGAGCCGATGCCCAAGGACCATCCTCTTGTATCTCTGCCAAACTGCTGTAAGTACCTAATTATGAAGTTATTGCCTTTGAAGGCAGAGGACCATAGTACTTAGATACTAAAGAAACACCGTAGAGGAGAGCTCATTCCATAACTTTATAGTTTGTGGAAGAAAAGACCTCTGGAAATTAACAGTTGTTCCTTGGGAATAAAGCTTTTGGAAAATGGAAACAGTTTTGGACATTGTAATGTTTCCACGAAATATGGGTGCACTATCATAATTTACTAAGACAAAGTTTCGAAATTATTTTTATAGCTGATATAGAGTTACCAAAATTTTTAAGTTTTTTAAACTGTATGTTATGATAGTTAAGTGTTATTAACGGGATTTGTATTTTGCAAGTTTCGATATTTCGGCACCGTTGCAAGTGCCATACCATTGATCACAGAGTGATACCATGATCATGGTAATACTATTACTCCGTGTATATACCGTGTATAGAGTATAGCACCGAACCGATGCCACGATCCACGATGCCGAAATAATCTTCTAGGCAGGCGTGTACCATCCTAGGCCTCATCATCGCTTTCCATCAGGTGAGATTGTAGTCAAACGTATTGCCTATTTTGCATAAAAAAAAAACTTAAAGACCATGAGACCTTCAAACAATATGTCGTTAATACTTCAGGCAAGCAAATCATCTTATCTAGACATAAAGTCTAATTTAATATTGCAATTTCAGTTATAATTCCTCACCTGGGAAGTGCGACAGTGAAGACCAGAAACGACATGGCCAGCATCGCCGCTAACAATATATTGCTGGGACTGGATGGAAAACCTATGCTTTTTCCGGCTTACTGAAGTTAAACTACAAGGCTATAATCATTTTCGATAATCCAGTGATGCGCCGCACCGCAGCGCAGTGGATCACCCATACAGATTATATTGTCTAATTTGTCTTTAAGTTTTATCAATATTTATATGGAAAACGATGTTGTCAACATATTTATTGTTACTGTGAGGAACACTGTCATAGGTATACTTAGAGCATATTGGTTTATGCTCTAAGTAGGTAAATGAACACTTTTAGTTATGCGAGAAAAATATATCGTTTGAGGTAATAAATGTATTATATATTGGACTGCAGTCTTATGTTTTTATTTACTACCTTGAAACTACCTAGAACAATCACTGACAGTTTTGAAAAAAATATAGCAGATCATCAACAGAGTGGCACCGTCGCGTCGCGTCTGCTAAATAAATATTACTTTAACTTTAATAAAAAAAAGGAAATTGCTTACACATTTATAACTTTTTTGTAATCAAATTTATCGACATATTTATTAGACATTATAATTGAAATGGACATTTCTCCATATTCTAATCAAAGATTAATAATATACTACGAGTACTTTTGAATATAGAGAGAGTCACTTCCTGCAAGGCGTTTAATATAGCCTAGTGTCGTTTGATTTGATTTACTAATTCTAGGGATGGCGTGCAAAAGCCTAAGTGGCCCGGGATTCCAGATTTTAATACGCCCCTGCTTGTTTGTGAATACATTTTCGCTGCAACAGTCCCGCAATACTATAGTTACCCTTACATATTACATTAATATGTTTATAATAGAGGAGCTCGATGGCGCAGTGATCGGACATTGGATGGGTGACCAAAAATTTAATATTTCGAGCTACTTCGCGCTTCGGAAGTCACGTTAAGCCGTTGGTCCAGGCTGCATCTGCAGTCGTCAGCAACCACCAATCCGCACTGAGCCCGCGTGGTGGGTCATGCATAGTCCGCACTCCCTATTCCATGCATAGTGAAGGCCTGTGCCCCAGCAGTGGGGAGATTAATAGGCTGATGATGATGTTTTTAATTAAATCAGCAAATAGGTACTCAGTAAAGTAAACTCGTAAGTACGTATGTTATGTTAACTATCTATGAGCATCTGTATAAACATCAATTTCCATTGTTTTGGTTACAGTTTAGCGTCACCTTTAAACCAGGGCCGGATTTAAGCCAAGACAGGTGGAACTAAAAATACTAATTTCATTGGGTCACTAAAGCGGGGGGCAAATGATCCAGATTTACTCTAAATCTCTTAATGGCCTCCACCTCTGTCTTTTTCATTCTTTATAAAGAACAATAAGAACAGGCAGTTGTCCAGTTTAAAAATAGCAAATACCTAGGGAAAAAGCTGCATTTATTGGATTATTATGATCCTGATTTCCTTCACTTAGATATACCTAAATCTAAATTCCCTAGTTTGTGGCAATCATGCTGTAAGTACATGTTCTATGTACTTACAGCATGATTGCCAACTATTTACAATTACACAACTGAGCAAACCAAAAAATTCCGTATTCACACCACAAAGATCTTAATAGAGCATATACACAAATATAGGCATTTAACGTCACACAATATGTTTATCATATATATGTTATGTATATGTATGTATGTGTATGTACACCTGGTAACGCTACCTGTGCCAATTTTAAAATACGTACATTATCCATAGGGAAGGCCTATGTTCCAGCAGTGGGGGCATTAATAGGGTGATGATGATTAGGCTACAATTTTTTTACAAATTTTATTTGTCTAATTTTAATAATTAATATATCAGGGTGGCTTTTACATAAGGGTCAAATTCAACAAATGATTTTTATTTGTCATTTCGGTGGGATTTTTTATAACAATGTTTCCTGCATATATATATTTTAGTAAAAAAAAAACCTTTACCTTATTTGTAACATATGTGTGAGGGCATCAATTATCATCACTTACTGAAATATTTAAGGATAAGTTTTCGGGAGTCCACTGAAATGAAAAGTGTCTACCGCAATGGTAAAAAAGAGAGAAGTTTATTAGTAATGCTCTTTAGTAAATCGTCCCCTTAATGCCAAAACCGATTATCTGCACTTTTCCTCTACTGAACTTTTATTATACCAATCGACCCGTCTCATTAAGCCGCATCTACGGGTAAAACCCATTATGCTCTACGACGCATACTTCCTGAAATAGCTAGTGAAAAGACAGACAGCAACTGCAAATTCTTTCCAAAATTCTTGATTAAAAACCTAATAAACCCATTTGAAATTTTCCCATTTCGGATTTAAACTCATTTTAATGTTTTTCTTAATATCCTGTGAGATTATTCCGTTAATATTAGGTATCCTACGGCTATTGGCTTTGACTTTTTGAATTTTACCACATATTTTACTAGATGTAGTAAAAGCTAACAAATCTAAGTCGCTTTTTGCAAATAAATATATATTATATTTGCGGTATATATGAGGCAAGTAAAAGAAGAACTGAATTTAATTTGATTTTACTGAATAACTTTTATATGACGCTTTATAAATTACTTCAGCAAAAATCGATTATCGGTGCTTACTCTTTTCTTCCACTGTAATTTATTAGCGTTAGTCATCGTTAGTTTAAAGTTTATGCTTTAGCTAAAACCAGCAATCCATGTTTAACCGTCTCTTCCGTACACAGATCGCGCGCTAGCTAGCGAGTTGCTCACTTCGCGCGCTGGGCAACACTGTTATTTCTTAATTATTCACTAATAAACATTACTGAATGAACTATTCTGCTTATTTGGTTTAACATGATAACTGCTAAGAAAGACGATGATTTAAAATAAACTCCAAAACTGCCAAATAATTAAGTCACGCGAACTTACCCGACCAACTATCAGCCAATAGCTGTCACCTCAGTATTGTGCAAAGTCTTAGAAAGAGTCCTTAATAACCATCTGACCCGCTATCTAGAAGACCACTCTTTGATCAACGATCGTCAATACGGATTTAGACCGAATCGATCGACAGGTGACCTTCTAGCGTACGTGACATATATCTGGGGTGAGGCTATCGACAAGTGAGGTGAGTCTTTGGCTATCAGCCTTAGCATCGCTAAGGCTTTGATAGGATTTGACACATTAGTCTTCTCTACAAGCTTCCTGGATACGGTCTGCCTACTCAGTTTTGTGCCTAGGTGGCTGACTTCCTGCATGAGCGTCGACGGACGGCGACGAATGTAGTTTGCAGTTCATGTCAGTGAGTGCCGGTGTTCCGGAGGGCTCCTACCTATCCCATACACTCTTTTTGCTGCATATCAATGATTTAATTCCTCTTGAGAATATTCATTGCTATGCAGATGATAGTACAGTGCATGGGGGATATTTTCGACAAGCAGCGGCTGGACAGGTAGAAACCAAGGAGAAACGGAAGAATCTTGTCATTGAACTCAATCAGGATTTGGACCGCATTTTCGAATGGGGTACCAAGAACTTGATTGAGTTCAATGCTAAGGCAGCCTAGATCTGTGCCTTTACGGTAAAACGTCACCATGCCTTCCCTCTCTTTAGGAAACAACACTGGCGCTAGACAGCAATATCACAATGCTCGGTATGTGAATTATTCGCTGTGATTTAAATTCAAAGTACTACATCGAAAGCGTGGTAAAAGCAGCCTCACGCAAACTCGGAATCCTGAACAAAGTGCGGCGTTTTTTCACGCCTGAGCACAGCTGCATGTTGTACAAGACGCAAGTATGGTCTTGCGTGAAATATTGTTGGCACCCCAGAGGATGGCTCCGCCAAGAACTTTTTCGATGCTTTGGATAGGATACAGCGGCACGCGATCCGCATTATTGGCGATAAGGAGGTGACTTAACATCTCGAGCCTCTTCAATTACGCCGTGATGTGGCGTTATTAAGAGCATTTTATCGTCTATACCATGGCGCATGTTCTGAGGAGTTATTGTCCCTTAACCTACCTTCCTCTTTCCTACAGAAGTCTACACGCGCTGGCTTACGTTGTCACCGACTTACTGTGAACTACTATTCCCACTTTTCCACGTGAACAAAGAATTTTGGTGACTCATTTCTTTGTCAGACTATCCGCAAATGGAATACTTTGCCCGCTTGCGTGTGTGAAGTAGCAATTCTGTACCTGCAGAAGCTGGTAACTGTACCAGCTATTTTCGCATCTGGACTCCTCCGTCACTTAACATCTGGTGGAGTCATTTGTCTAAACTATTTATAAAAAAAAATCTATACCAAAAAAAAAAGATCTCTTAGATTAGTGCAACAAAGGTGTCATACCTCCTCAGGTATGACACCTTTGTACGTCCCATGGATTATACAGATCTTTGGCTACAGAAACTAGCCAATGCGATCGTTTGCCTTCAGAAACCTTTTGTTATGACTCATCATGTGCAAGCGAGTCAAGTGCAGTTGAATAATACTGTTTTTTTTACACTTTTTTATATAGAAAGACTAGGGGCCGCCAACGACTTCGTCCGTTTTTATATACAGCATATCTCAGCACTTTTATATACATTTTTAAACTAGATATTTTAGATAGAAATACTAGTGTACCCAAAATATCGAACTGTAGGTTCGATATTCTAGGTTAATATATCACAAACCGATATTATTTAATACATATACCTATATTGACTCAAGGATTTCTGAAAACTTATGGATTTATCATTTCGGAGATAATTTCATTCCCGTGGACTCTTATCGGCATTACAGTCCACCGAATCAATTGTCCCCATATCACTGAAATTTAATGATATTCTTACTATTTAGCGGAAACCGACAATGACGTTGTTGCTTGTGCATGTGCACCGACCAGCTAAGGCGGACTGGCTCGAAGTGAGCAATGACAAGCGGGACACAACAACGCAATGTAGACGAACCTATTTCACTAAAACTCACTGTCCATGAAAAAGTAACCAAGACACAAGTAAACAAACGATAGTGGTTTTTGTTGATAGGCTATATTAGGTATATATTATTGATATAAAAGTTAATATCAATCCAAAAAATTTTACTACAGGGGAAGTAATTTTACGAGAGGAATTGGGTTCATGACAGGTCACCGTGATGATAAAATGCTACTTTGTATTTTTATAATTTATGTAATAGAGCCCATTACTCAATAATTATTTTTGCCAAGGTAGAGAAGTACCTACTTAACTAAGAAAAAATATAAAAAGATAAATCAGCACATTGCACTACCGCTCTGAGGATTGCCGTGTATTTTTTTTTTTTGCTTGGGGAGTTCACCCGTAAATTCGATAAAACGCACCGATTTGGCAGTGAATTTATGAAGCTAAAATAAGGAAATGGGTTTTCGAGATCACCGAAAAGACTTGAGTATCACAGTTTATTTATTTTATATTATCTCTAACCACTAATGTGTTTTTCAATCTCCAATCATTTAAATAAATAAAAAACCAGTCAAAGCTAGTCGGGCAAGCGCACCGAGGGTTCGGTACAAACTTCTAGCCCAATTACTAATAAGTGACTGACTGAAATGACTAACTCATTCATCACAGGGATCACAAAAAGTGTTTATATTGTGGGGTATCTGATAATTTTAAGGTGGAAGCACTTTTCCGAATAGTATTTCGGCGTAAATAAAAGCGTAAAACTCGGCGTATTGGTCGTTTTATTAGATAAAACAATATCGGACTAATACACATTTGGTTTATGAAAAGATGCACTTAGATTTAATTTATAACAAAAAGGCACAATGATGAACGTACCGACCATTTTTACAAGAGAGGGCAAAGAGTAAGTGACAGTAACCTTTTTTAATAGCTATAGACAAATGACAAAGGAATAATGCATACATCCTTATTAAGGGGTGGACACACAATATCTAATAGGGAATCGAGTTATTCGCCGTGCGCCTTCGCGTACTTATGCCATACAGTAAAATTAAATTTTACGGCATAAGTAGGTACTGTATCGTATTTACAAGCAATCCACCATTTTATTTCTGTGAAGCCACTGAAAATTTAAGCCAACAGCAAAAATGCTAAAATGCTTCACTCTTTAATTAAAAATAAAGTATGTAGAATCACAAATCAGGTTACTCGCAATCAATTAATTTCTCAATCAATGTAGAATCATAAATCAAGTATGATAAAGATAAAATTCCATACAGGAAAGTTCACAGTTTTGCTCTTAACATGTCGATTGACTGTAATAATAAATAGATCATAATAATGATTTTCTAAATGCTTAGGCTATCCATTATAATTTGAATGGAATATAGGTTTTTATTATACAATATTCAAGGTCGGCTTGACTAGACCGAGTAGAATTGTTACTCGTAAAATATCGAGCAGATTATTGCTTAAAATAAAAAATATAGGTACCTAATTAACAAAATTTTTATGAAGTTGTTTATTATAATTTTATTTAAAGCATTAGTTTATTAGTTTGCCAACTGCAAATAAGTTACGATTTTTTTGCTTTATTTGTGCTCTTAAAAGCCTAGCATTGCTTCTTTCTTTATCGTTTTCTTCTTTTGTACAGAACCCTGAAAAGCGACCAAGTACCGATATAGAATATAGTCCCGTTATCGCAAGTGAACGTTTCGGCCTACAACCTTGTCGTTTAGTTTCTCGCGACCGACTGTTCATCGCTCACACAATTCAGTTTTTTTGACAAAAGTAATTGATTATCATCTTAGATAAACAGCTGATACCGGCCATGTTACGTAATGGAGTTTGTTTTATCGCGGCGTACGTTATCAGTTTTATTGTGTCGCCGACAAGCTGCTCAAACGCAACTATGACAAATCTCAAGGTTTTGGTTTCTTCAAATGATTTCCCCGACAGCGGATTGCAGATTCTACGAGAACAGTAAGTAAATTATTTTGCTGTCTGAGATTTTATTTCCCATATTAAAGGTTGTAGTTTAGGTAAAAATACTAAGGTACAACTGGGTACAACATGTAGAATCACAGTCACACATACTCAATATCATAGAATGTCTCAATCAATTTTGAATCTTGTATGAAGCGTGATAAAGATGAAAATATACAAATAGGTTCACTTAACATGTTGGGTGACTGTTATAATAAATCTTATTAATAAATTTCAAAAAATGTCTAATGCGTTGGAATACTTGATGTTGGAGTAGTATTGATAGGTACAAACCAAACTTAGAATTCTAAAGATATTTTAATATTCAAAGCACGAAGAGATCGCGTCCATTTTGCTCTTTGAACGTAAAACTCCATTTATGTACAAAACAAGAGTATCTTTTTAAATAAAATAGTTTTTATGTTAAGAATGATTTTCAAATAATTAAATAAACACTTCTCCTCCTTCTACTTACATCAAATACCTTTATTTATTTTCCTTTTTGTTAAGTCTTAAAATAGTTATTGTTTGGCTTTATTTTTGCTTGATGATCCACAATTCACAAGCGATTGAGAACGAAACCTTTGACTAGTAACACTACGGAGCAATGTGTAGGGTCAAGTGGGGGACAGTATTACAACGGGCACAGTGTTACAAGGGGCACAGTGTAACATTAGGAATATCTCAGCCGTTTTCTTATTTATCTATGAGTCTGTCTTGGCGTGGTTTTTTTACTTTCATATGCCGTCATCAGATACCAAATCTCCGAGTTTAATACAGAGATATTCCTTTTATTGCACTGTACCCCTTGTTATTATTTGACCCTACTTTTTGTGCTAATAGGTACAAAATATCGTTTATACCTAGATAATTATGTCAAAATTAATCATTTAAATAAATAACATAGGTACACTATTTTTCAGTTTCACTGTCGTCCAGAGTCCATACTCTCACTTCGGCGAAGAAGGGGCGACACAAAACAAAGAAGAACTCCTGAAACTTATTCCTGGAAGCTCGGCGCTAGTGTGGGTGACACACCATCCGCTTACGAAGGAGCTCTTAGATAAAGCTGGTAAACAAAATACATACGGCTCAAAATGATAATCTTCTTTTCATAGTTCCGTCGTCTTTGAACAAGGAACCCTCAGGAACCAAACAATTTAACTACCTACTTACGTCCGGTTACACCGTCTGCACTGCGGTATGCGTATGCAATCGCTCTTTCCGTGTTCTGTAGTTGGTTCCAAATACAATCAGCAAGGTACGGAACAGAAAAAACACAGGCGATGTATGCCTATACATTTTTATGATATCTTACCCCCTCTACACCTAAAGTGGAGATGTACTTTTTTCTCGTCTACAATCCCATTGAATAGGTCTTTAAAAATATAGCAATATTTCGATTATGACATCATAAGTGAATGAAGCTTTGAAGTGCACCTAGTCAAGTGTCCCCATCCTCCCTGCCAGCTAAAGTTAAATGGCTGTTACCGAATTTACAAAAAAAATCACGATAATGTGTAGGTATATATTATGAAGTAAGCAGTTAAACTAGCATCAGAGCTAAAGTGTTAATGTCGTTGAACGTCGATTGCTCCACAGGACCCCAGTTGAAGATAGTAGCGACAGCTTCTGCTGGCTACAACCACGCCAATGTGGAAGAACTGAAGGCCAGAGGTATCAAGCTGTCCAACACTCCAAACGTGTTGAGCTCAGCAGTTGCCGAGATCGCGGTCAGCCTGATGCTGGCAACTGCTAGGCGGTTCACTGAAAACCTGGATCAAGTGCGCAGGTATATTACGACCGCGCTGCAGTGTTATAGCTAGCGGGGGGCATTATGCGGCAATGCCCAGTGGCAGCGCTAGACCACATGTGGACGTCGGCGACATCAAGTTCGTGAGGCCTATTTTACTTCGCAGTAAAAAACCGTTAAATTAAGTGAGCCAAATTATAAAATAACGTATGAGTAAACGAATTTTATTGTTGATAATCAAATGATGACAAAAAATAATTACAAACATAGAAATTTAATTACAAAAATAGTGTTGCCAGACAGACGATTCTGAATACCTGTAAAGTACCATCGCTTCCATCACGCACGTGTTCGAAAATAATAAAAGTCATTATCATCTGCTTAGCTTTCCCCCGAATTGTTCGGGGTCGGCTATCTAAGCCAGGCCAGCAGAAAGGAAAATAAATAGCTAACTTGTAAAAAATTTTTGCGAAGCTCCCTCAGGCGCGAGGCCGTCGGTGGTGGCCGACGTCGCCGACGCCTAGCGCCGCCACTGGCAATGCCCTACCTCAAAATACCATTGCCCTGCCTTAAAACGGGGCGGCAGGTTATCTCAAATCCAACTCTAGAAATTGTTAACGTAATTCGCCCTTCTACCTGACTAAAGTCATTCCTCTACCCCTTGGAAATCTGACGAGCTGTTAAAACATAAACTACTTATTCTCGTTTGCTGCAGTATTCACTTTTTATGGTGGAGGACACTTCTCCAGGATAATTTATTATAAAATACTAACAACAACCTTACTTCCGTACTAAGATAAAATTTAAATTGAATGCTTCTTTAGCTTACCTACGTTTTCAATATAGTTTGTTAGGTACCGAAAAATAAAGTTCTAGCTAAAAATTTTAAGTTATGCTATTTCTCTGAGTGTTTACGTTAAAGCACGGTAATATTATAGATAATATTACCGTGGTTAAAGGTTTATTTCAGGTGACTATTCCTAATGAGTAGCTATACCTAACTAACTACCCAGTCGTCGTGTTTTCAGAGGTGAATGGGAGGCCGGTTTTGTAAAGGTTCTGGGTCAAGACATTCGAGGCAGTACAGTCGGTGTGATAGGTCTCGGTGGTATCGGTCAAGCTGTCGTGAAGCGTCTAGCGGGATTCGAAGTCGCCAAGTTCCTGTATACTGGCCACAGGGAGAAGCCCGAAGGTAATCATATACATAGATAGTACAAAATGCTCACGCCCTATATCGCGTTGGTAGAGCAACGAAGACGCGATTTCAAAACTTGACATAATGTGATAGATCTGTGTGCCAACTCCCCTAACTAAATAGAAAGCGAAGATTCAATGAAACCGATCATGGGGAGGTATATTATTAACTAGCTGAGCCCCGCGGTGTTACCCGCAGTTTATTAGGGATATTTCCCGCAGTAAAACGTAGCCTATGTGTTAATCCAGGGTGTCAGCGAATTCCATACCAAATTTTATTAAAATCGCTCCAGCCGTTTAGACGTGAAGAAGTAACAAACACACACACTTACAAACTTGCGCCTTTATAATATTAGTGTGATATGTGAAGGAAAAACTTTCGTAGCTGTTAGTATCATTTTTTAAAGAGCATTTTTTTGGAAGATTCTGACGTTTTGCTTTAATAATAATTTGTATAAAAATGAGTGCAGAAAGCCATGACACACAACATACAATGAAGTCACAGAACCTAATGTTTCCTCTATCTTTCTACAGCAAAAGCTTTAGGTGCGGAGTTCGTGAACCTCGATGACCTATTGACGAAGAGTGACTTCATCTTGCTGGCCGTCCCGCTGACGTCCGAGACGAGGCACATGATCAACAGCACCACGCTCGGGAAGATGAAGTCGAACGCCATTCTGATTAACGTCGGCAGAGGCGGTATTGCATCTACTGCTTAATTTATTCCTACTTTTTCCACAACTTGCGGGATGGATCCTTAGCGGGGTTGGCAGTGCTAACCCTATTCCACAATGTCACAGATTTGATACTGTATTAATATAGTCCACAGTATCAAATACTGCGATATTGGTTTTGATTCTGGCATGATTCTCTAAACCTAAACTTAAATTTGGCAACAGTGTATCCTAGTCAATCTCTATACAGAATGAAAAGGAGAGACTGGTGTTAAGTTTAGTTTAGAAAATCATGCCAGGATCGACACCATTGTGGAGAGTGCTAACCTTAGAGTATCTATAACCTGTTAAATTAGCACAGTTTCAAATGCTGCGACATTGTGGAATAGAAATGTATCTCATTGACGCCACATATAGCACTGGTTGATAGAAATCTAAGTTACACAGTAGACAAGCACAGATCAACTTATCCAAAATTTTCAAATTTCTGTGACTGAGCTTTAATTGCTTCATTGAAATTTCTCAATCTTTTGATAAAATTTGCCAAATTTTTGATACTTGATATTGGCTGTACATTAAATACGCTTGCGTGCATCATGTTACGGTCATAACCAGTTTCTTAGTTGACCATTAGTACCCATTCCATGATATCGCTTTGCCTTCTTGTGTCAAAAGGGATAGGGATTTGGTCCATGATAGACAGAAAATAACCTCTAAAGTACTGAAGGGAACTCCACATGGAGGTGTTGGTAACATTATGCCACGCCACGGGTAAACTGTTATTATGGTCCCTTTAAGAATATTACCTACGACTCCTAGACAAACAAAATATCGGTCAATTGATATGTGGGTAATCTTCGTATTGCCTTTACTGATTTTGGTTAGAACAAAGTTGAATAAAATTCGCTTCCTTACAGATCTGGTAGACCAGGAAGCGCTCTATGACGCTCTTAAGAGTAAGAAGATATACGCTGCTGGACTCGACGTCACCACTCCAGAACCGCTTCCCAAGGACCACAAACTGCTAACACTGCCTAACATTTGTAAGCACGAATATCTACTGTTGTATCGTTTTTGTGTAACTTTTCGCTGATCTTACGTAAGTGCTTAAACATCCAAAAGACATTTCGAAGTGGAATTAGATTTTATATAAAACTTTTATTGTAAAATTTGAAAAAATGAGAACAGAGATTTAGCTGCTCAGCAGAGACTGTGATAAACTTTGCAAGCAGTTATTACATTCACGATAGCTAGCGTACTTTTATTAATCTTAAAGCATTTACTGTTCACTGTTGGTGCAATTTACCCTAAAGAGATGGCAATGTTATTTAAGTGTTTAGAGGTATTTTTCTAAAGATATTCAATACGTAATACAACTGAATTTTTTTTAATCAAATCTTCTTTCACCAGTCGTCCTACCGCACATCGGCAGCGCGACGGTGCGGACGCGCAACGATATGGCGGTGCTTACTTCGAACAACGTCGTCAACGCACTCACTGGCAAACCACTCATTACGCCCATTCTAGAATAAATTAGATTACCCCATAGGGTAGAGAATGGGCTCAGCAGGGTAGCCAACACGCGAGGGGCCTGCAACTGTGTCGCAGGCGTCTATAGGCCACAATATGATAATATTAGTACTCATATTTTAGTAAAATGAAGTGTCGCTTTCATTAGAGACATATTTAGGCTAAATTTTGCCTTTAATATATCTAACAAATGAGAAAAATAATTCTAGTTCGACGATCGAACTAGTGAGAATTATTTTTCTCATTTGTTCGACCGTCGAACTAGTCAGAACTGATCGGGAAACTAAAAAAAATGCTTATAATAAATGATTGTTGGTCACAAATTTGGAATTTTAAAATTACAATATTAGGTATAGGTAGGTAGAACCTTAAAAAACGTTAATGAACACAACTTTGGTGGAATATACATAATTAAATATATTTTTCTCTGTCTTACTTATCTCAATAAGCAGAGAGAATAAAAATTTTATTTATGTATTCCCGCGAAGATATACATATGTACTTATGTAGGGTATAGTGAATATTATAAAAGCACATTGATTATGAAATATCAATCATTGATAAATCAGCGTCTGAAGCATGAAGAATCATAATCATCATTGAATAAATGAGTTTTTCTCATTTTCTGGTTAAGCTTATTGAAATAAGCAAGACAAAAAAAAAATCTACTACCTACGAATACGTTTTTGATCAAGGATATGGTATAGTTGTTCCAAGATAATATGTAACAAATAATTTTATTATTTATGATTGTTATTTTGATACTTTTAATTAGGTCTTTGACCAATAATTTATTATACTTAAATAAGCGTTTTTAATTTCTATATATATGAAATGCATGTATTTGTGATCTTTATTACACATATCACACATATTTATTATTTTTGTATCTCGATTAAGAATTATAAGTTAACGCACGAACTAAGAAATCGAACAAGTGAGACAAATACTCTCACTAGTTCGACAGTCGAACAAATGAGAAAAATAATTCATACTAGTTCGACGATCGAACTAATGAATCGAACTATTGAGAATAAAGGAAATTATTTTTGCTTCTGTAATATTTTTTCGAAAAGTTTCTCGGACCACTTCGGGTACTTCCAGGGACCACAGGTTAAGAACCACTACTCTACAGAACCTCAATCATTAAAAAAAAATGAAATTAGTGACAAAACTTTAGAGCGGTGGTTCTTCACCAGTGGTCAGCAAACTAGAGTCCTTTATTTTTAAAAGGTTAAGAACCACTGCTTAGAGCAACCATTAAATTATTCAAGTAAATATGTCAGCACTAAGCTCTCTACTCTCTACAAGATTGAAAATGAAATACAAACAAACAATAATTTGGTTTTATTAAAGCCCTTATTAAATAAATCATATTATTAACATCTGCTTCACATATATAAATTTTAAGAATTAATGAGTATAATTACATACCTCAATTATATAATTATTACTTTACATAGAACTCCAATGATATAAAAACTTTTGCTGTTACATAAGCTCCTCCATTTATTTCTAACTAGATAATTTACAAAAGTATAAAATCTTATTCCAATATAATAATAATGTATTAGTGATCCTATTTCCTAATTGTCTTGACATCAACTCCTATTACAATACAGTTAATTTGAAATTCAAAATATATTTACAAAGGAGACCTTTTTAGCCCAATTTTGTACCTTGGTACAAATTATCTCAAAAACTTTTAAAATTATACTTAAAAAGACACTCATCAAATTCTCAAAAAAAATCAATAAATATGGCTGAAAATCTGAATTAAAATAGGGAATTTGGAATCTACGGAAAAATAAATGTTATAACCTATATGCTATTTGTCATCGACTGACAGATGACAGCCAACACTTGGTTAAAATTCGTTTCCATGATTGCTATTGGTTGTATCAAAAATTACGTTAATTATTTCCATAGCTCATTGTCATGCTAATTATAGATGCTATATTTACCATAATTTATTATCCATGTTGCCATTAAACAAATTTTTAAACAACATTTTTATGTGGTATAATATAATAATTATCTCCATTTATATTTTTGATGAATTCTATGTATTTTTTCTACACATAAAAGCACAATAATTGCTGAGATACAAAATTGAGCAGTTGTATAGAGAAAATAATGGATCCTTTACTTTAAAAAATCTGTAGTCCAAAGTCCAAACCTATGTTAGGACTTCTGGCCCCCTAGCATGAGCATCAGGATATGCTATATAACTCGTTCTTAACAGGCTCAATTGTCAAACTACTATGGAGTTTGACAGTAAGGCGCGATAAAAAACGTGATATAATGTTAGTTGTGGTGCTCATGCTACAGGGACAGAAATACCTTTCCAATGACAAATGAGAGTGAAAGTTTTTGCTATCATATCATAATTGGAGCTGAATTTTGACATGCAATCTCATGTTAATAAACAAAGATCAATCTGAGAACCTCAGCTGAGAACATCGACCGTTTTTTTAACTTCACTAAAATGACAATTGGAATTAGATAAAAAATAAATATAAATTACAAGTCCCGTCTGCTGCCTGGTCCGCATGGAATTCTATCTAGTAATATTTTTTTTGGATTTAAACATCGAGCAGTTAATGCTAAGAAAATAAAAATATAACTAAATATAAATTATACAAATGTTCACCCTGTTTATTTAGGCTCTAAGGAGTAAACAAGGAAATATAAACATTATTACTTCTTTATGATTTTATTTATTTTTTAAGCATTTAACTGCTAGATGTTTAAATCTAAAGAAAAGTTTACTAGAAAAAAATCCACGCGGACCAGGCATTTTTTTTTCTAGTAAACTTTTCTTTAGATTATTACTATTATTATTATTAGAATAAAAATGCACTATTTTATTTAAGAAACAAGACTATCCACTATAAACAAAAATAGAACCATTGTTCAAATTAAGAATTACTTTAAGAACTGGGGCCCAATTCTCGCGGCATAGATATTATATCACCTTCGATATATCTCGAATGATCTGGCTTTTATCGAAGGAAAACCTTTTTGCCCTATTCTCACCATGTCGCAATAGATATTTATCTACGGATGATCAGTAGACATACATCGACTGGTGAAGAGCCTTCGATATATAAATATCTATGGATCTTGGCATGCCAATCTTGTTATTTCCACTTTTTTTACCTATTATTTATTGTGTTGTCGTGTGTCATTGCCAATTATTGTTACCTCAAGACGTTGTTACCTGCCTTCATAAATAATTAGTAAATAAAGAAGTAGGTAAACAATGGTATCGATTCTGACACGATTCTCTAAACTTAAAGCTAAATTTAACATCAGTCTCTCCTTTTCATTCTGTATGGAGAATGACAAGGATACACGGTTGTCAAATTTACGTTTAGGTTTAGAGAAGCCAGAATCGACACCATTTTCTTATTGACGATACGGAGTTTTTGGCGGGATTTCTGCGAGTGCGGTTGGCGTCTTATTTTAATTATTCTAAAATTCGTTCATGTTACAACCGTCTGCGCAACTGAAGAATTAGTGGAATCTTTAAAATATACGCTATTCCGGTCAAGTGGACGTGAGAACTTTATTGTAGTGTCGACTACCTCACAGAAGCTTATCGAAAAAGCCAACTCCATAAATTTCGTGCCAAACACTCCAAGAAACATAAGAATGTGTTACACCGACATTCTAATGTAAAAAAAAGAAGATTAATATAACTAAAGACTAGGTTGTATGGGCATTGTTTCCTTTGCCTTCCTTGAAAAGGGAGAATCTTAAATAATATTGACGTTTCATTATACATAACGTTGAAATTATATACGCATACAATTTAGGTAAAGTTGAGATTTCTTATACTCAAAATGTATACTCATATTTAATATGAATGGAATTCATAAGATATAAAATATCATTTTGTTGCTTGTAAAATTCTGCTCTAATTTATTATTATTTTATATAGACTATGATGTTAACTTAATCGAAAAAAACGGAACGCATTTGGCAGTGAAAGAATATCTACGATAGATATAATATCATTGGAATATCGAAAATCCACGAGAATAGCATTTTTTACCATCAGTAGATATTTTCAATAGATATCCCTACTTTCGATATTATCTCGAAGCCGATATAATATCTACGCCGCGAGAATTGGGCCCCTGGAGAGAAAATATGTCTCTCAAACCAAGTTATTGCATGTAAAACTTTAAATGCATCCATAAGTTTCCATTAAGCATGATATAATTTGACATATTCTGTACATGATTTCTAACATTAGTAATTTTTACCCATTACATTTGTAATAATATTCATGGTGTGTCCACCACTATTGCAGCTAAATCCTTTAAGAATGGTTCTATCTGGCTCTCCAATGATAAAATATGACCCGTGTTGCAACTATCACTACCAATGAATGTTATTACCAAAGGTAATTTATTCATTTGAATTACCTGAAAATTAAAGAGTAATCTTATTCAATGCATACATATTAATAACTCCAGATAATGTTTTAGTTAATGTTATGTAGTTTCTATTATTGATAAACAGTCAAATATCTTGCAACTCTTTGTTAATAAACAAGAACTTCATAATGTCACACTTAGTTATGTAAAAGTCATTAAAAGTAATGGGATAAGTATGCCTTAACTGGAACAGTATCGGGCTTGCTTTAAACTAATATAGTTCATAGCAAGCAAGTTCACATGCAAGTTTCCTGTTTTCTACCTTGCTACAAACTTTTTATCAACAACTTATAAAAACCTATATATGGGCAAATATAATATAAATAAATTTCAAGTGAAGCTATTTTCGTATTCTCAACTTACCTGATAACTTGAATACATAGATATAATAGTCTTGTTCCTACCCAAACCCAATTTGCTTGCTTGATCCGTGGCCATACCGAATGTAGAAATAAAATTAGGCCGCAAAGCTAACTGTGGTGCCCTTTCTGTTACTGCGCGTACGAGTGGCACACCATCTCGATCAGTAATTAGTATACAATGAAGACCATTCACCCTGAAATCACAAATAATATGACGACCAAAGGTACCTCCTACTACTCTTAAATCTTTAGAAGACATCTTTACAACAATTTACAAACATACTTTTCTAGTAAATGGTTCAAATACTTTCTCAATTCATCGACCATTTTAATGTAATTTATTAACTATAATAATTGGGCAGTTTTATAATTTATATAGTTTTGTTTTGCCCAGTGAACTGATAGCTGCTGCTGCTGCTTGCTGATGATATTGACATTGACAGTGACACTATGACATCCGGCGTGACCACTTTTTCACTTTCAGTACACGATCTACCAAAAATGTTTGTAAAATCTACTAGATTCTACCAAGCCCTATAGGCTAGTTGACTCATGTCAAATTGTATTAAATAAATGTTTATTTCTTAAAGTATTTGGTCTAAGGAACCTGAATATATCGATTTCACTTCATAAAAGCAGAAGATTGCTGTAAAAATTTAATTATAAAAAATATTTTTTAGTCTATATTTTTTAAACACTAAAAACGCTGTTCGCCAAATCCGCCATGATTGTGACGTCTCTTGTTGTAGTAAACAACTAAATGTCATTCGTGTGTTACTGTGGGTGGATTCTTTCTGACTAAATTCATCTTAAAAAACTTTTAACTTTAGAAAAGTTTCCGTTTACTGTTTTTTTTGACAAAACTAATTATGGATGCCGGCTTTGTGAAAGCAGAAAGCACAAATCTGCCAAGAATTGACGCATTGATGGTTGGTGAATTTTTTGTACTAAACACCGATTTCTGCTCTGCAGAGCAGAGAAACGACAAGGCATCTATGTAAGTACAGTGCATTTAGTATTACAATGGTGTCGATTCTAGCATGATTCTCTAAACCTAAACTTAAATTTGACAGCAGCATATCCTTGTCATTCTCTATACAGAATGAAAAGGAGAGACTGATGTTAAATTTAGTTTTAAGCTTAGAGAATTACGTCAGAATCGGCACCAATGTAGTAATAAACATAAAACTGATACAACATATGAATAAGTGTAATAAAGTTGCGTAGGTTGATTTCTTTCGGCACTTTAATCCACAACTTTCCTGGAGTCTTCAAGGATGTCTTTTTATATTCTCGTACAATACAATAGTGATAATTACTTTATTTTACGTGGGTTTTTAATGTTTTTTTTTATTATAAACTCAGATAGGTTATTTTCTACGTGCTTACGAGTTTTTATTTACTACAGGTTGATGTCATAGCATAGATAATCTATAGACTAAAATGGCCGACAGCGTTTTTGTATGTCCATGAAAAGTCTATTTTAAAATTAAAGATTTGTAGCTTTCTAGGTCTCAAAAAAATACAATACATTTTTTTCGGTCTAATAGAACATTTATTAACCATTTAAAACCTTTTTCCAAAAAGGGTCAACTAGCCTATTCCAAATTCTGATTAAATTCTACAATTAATAATAGAAACCAGGTGTTTGGTATATAAATTCAGGCATGATTCTTTAAACTTAAAATTTAATTTCACAACAGTGGTGTCGATTCTGGCAGGATTCTCTAAACTTAAAACTAAATTTGACATCAGTCTGTCCTTTTCATTTTGTATAGAGAATGACAAAGATACACTGTTGTCAAATTTAAGTTTAGCTTTAGAGAATCATACCAGAATCGACATCATAGTATCTTTGTCATTCTGTATAAAGATACAGAACGAAAAGGAGAGGCTAAAGTTATATTTAGTTTTAAGTTCAGAGAATCATGCGTCATGCCATAACACCGTTAAAGATTTAGCATCAATATCCCTATCACGGTTACCCATCCCAAACCCAACCAATCGTAAACAACCTGCATATTTTTTATAATCGCGGTCACACATCCCAAACCCAACCAATCGTAAACAACCTGCATATTCATAATCATGGTCACCAATCCTAAACCTGACTAATCATAAACACCCTGCACTTTCAGAATATCGAAAAAAAAATGCACCGAAACTATCAATAATTCATAGTTCTTGATAAATATTGAAGAAACGTGAATGCAAGTAAGATCAATCGTAAGGTGATGATGATGATTTTTTATGATTGGAAGAACAGCAGCCACGTCTTTAGGTTCGTGGCCTAACAGTTTTGTTATCAAAAAACAGGCACAGTGGACTGGCTATATTGCTAACATATTTTGATTCAAAAAGTATCTTTATTTTAAAAAAAGTATTTTGAAAATACGTAATCCTATATCTGGTATTTCAAATACTTCTTCCAAAAGCATCTGGTATCTAAATACTTGAATACCTGGTATCTTGTATTTTAGATACTTTTTTAAATGTATTTTTTACGTATCTATGCTTGCCGCTTTAAACGTCAGAGTTAAAAGCTTACGCTCGGAGTATATCTACAGAACGCAACCATACAAATCAAAACATTTTTATCATTCATTTATTTTGTCTATTGCCAAAATGGCAGAATTGATTTGACAACTTCACTCACTTTCACTGCGATTTTCGTAATTTATTTTTGGGTACATTATCTGTTGCCTTTGTACTTATTAGGTATTTATTATGTTATTTTAAATGGTGTTAAATAATATCTTTCACCAATTTTATGGAATTTGTGTAATACTGCTTACTTCATTATGTCGTGCAATAGTTGGAAATAATAGCTTTGGTATGATAACAAAAGATATAAAAATTTAGTTTCTTGCTTAATTTGTCAGTTACGCCATTTATTTTCCTTAGAACTGTGACTTGAGTATTAATAATTGAGGTAGTGGATGTACTTATACATAATTGTGTAGGAATTGTGGATTTTAGGTTTGTGACGTCACGAAGACGATGTTATTTACAGTGTAAAGTTGAAAACGTTTGATTGGAGTCGCATATGACAAGCAAGAGTTGGGCCTGCAGTGGTGAAGGTACGTTTGGTGGCACAGCGGTTCGCTCCCGCTAGGATGGGCGGCGATGTCTGCCCCCTCCGAGAGCGCTACGAGCCCTTCGCCGTGTGCATGCACTAATATATCGCTTATGCAACTGTTCCACGAGCTGAAACAAAAGTTTCCTGGAGTTCCTGATCATGTTGTATCCAACACTATCGAACTTTACTGCCACGACAAGCAAGCCTGTGAAACTCACTTACATAGCGAAGTCAAAGCCTCCCTAACGCACGCATATCATGCTTCGTCATCAGCTGCGGCGCGACAGCTCAACGAGCTCAAACTCAACCCACCATCTAAGTGCCGCAATCAACCCATAATCAAACATGATAATGTCAAATTTACACCAATTAAGTCAGTCGTTTGTCAAGGCCCACAGACTGCTATTATTAGTTCAAATATTGATGAAAATGACACAAAAATAAACACTGATGCTAATCAAAATGTTGTTGAAACAAAATCTGAAGAAAATTCAAAGTGGAACAATAATTCATCCCCAGTAACTATTATAAACATTGATAGTTGCTGTGCCAAGTACAGTGTAGAATCGCCGAGTGATTTGGAATTAACAAATGAAAATTTAAAGGATTTGAAGATAGTTGCAGATAGCCCACCTTTTGAGAAAAGCAACCAAGAGCAACCAGAGAGCACAAATTATAAGCTATTTAGAAGTAACAAGATAAGGTGTAATCTTAATGAAAGAGTTGAAAAAGTGAAAGAGAAAAAAACTATTAAGAAAGAAGAACCACCTCAGGAATCTGCCCAGCTGACACCAGAGCCCAATCTACCTGAGGCAAAACCTGAGATAAAACCAGAACAACAAGAAAAAGTCAAACGTCCTAACACACTCAATTTCATTAAACCAAACCCAGATATTGCATTTAAACAGACAGCAAGGGATACAGAAGCACCAGTTAATCAGACAGTTTCCCCAGCACCACCTTTTAAACAAGAGAGTCAGGCAAACAATTGTGGTAAATCTGGCACATTGTATAGATCAGAGCGTGTTTATCCTTTAAATTTGTCAGTTAATGTGAATTGTCATATGGACTTGAGTCGTTCGTATAATGATCCATGGTTAGAAGATTATGAGAGTCCGAGGGCTATTACATCTGTGAATTTAACAGTGTGTACACCTACTTCAAACATGGCTAGTCCTGTGCGAGAATCAAGGGATGATGAGGAGGGCTTTGAAGGTCACGTAACGGTGACAGTGAGCCCAAGTACGACGCGGCCGGTACATCGTCGCGCTCCCCCGCCGCCCCCACACACCTCCAGGATAGATACTCCAAGACCTGCCAGAGCAGCACCAGAACCTCCAGGATCAACACAAGGTAATGATTAATCATTTATTCTTTATTATTATTGTTTCTTTCACTGGTATTTTTACTGGGGGAAAAAAAGATGGAACTACAGAGAAAGAAGTTAATTAATAAAACCTCATAAATATTATTAAAATAATTTTATATCTGGAGTTTAAATTCTGAATTATGGACCAAAGCAACATTTTTAAGGTATTAATGGTGGGTCCCATTTGCTATTTACATTGTATCCCAAGTTTTAATAATATGTCTACTTCTAAGAATATAAGTAATTTACCTTTACCAAACATATAAAAAGTGGTGTATTTCTTTTTGGACAAAATATAACGTAACATACAAGCTAATTAATAGAATCTCAGAAATATCTTTAAAATAATTTAATTTCTTTTAATTCTAATTTATAGGTTATTCCAAATGTTTTTTTTTTCTCTGACTCTAATCTTATTGTTCAGGTTTACTGATAGGTTTCAGAAACTTACAGTTGTTTTTTAAAATCCTGTTTGTACAATCATTTGTACTAGAAAATATCTTGATTTCTTGACCACCAAGTAAATTATATGTATAGCAGCTTATTAAATTTATGTTGATATAAATAATTTATCATATTTTTTGTGTCTGAATGAATGCAGTAATTGTAAAATGATTTCCTCAACAACATAGTAAATGAAACCATAGTTCTTAATAAACACCAATTTCATGAAGGCCTTGCAAATCTCTCCATCAAAGGGCAAATAGTGTAAATGGTTAAAAAAAAAAATTTGCATCCAAACAAGATGGCTCTAAAGCTCCTGAAATAACATGATATAGGTACAGAGCTTTCATACAAAAAAAATCAATGGAGAGATGATGCCTTCAGTTGGAGGGATCTTCACATGGCATAAAGTTAAACAAAATAATAATTACTAATCCAAAAGATTTTGAACAGTTCAATTAGTTTGACAATTGGAGTCTCCACTGTATTCAAAAGCCTAAATTGTTATTACACAATTCTT